TTGGTGTTGGTTGTGGTGTCTCCTCTTTCAATCATGATTTTGTTGATTTGGGTCTTTTCTCTTTTCTCTTTGATAAGTCTGGCCAGGGGTTTATCAATCTTGTTAATTCTTTCAAAGAACCAGCTCCTAGTTTCATGGATCTCTTCTACTGTTCTTTCGGTTTCTATTTCATTGATTTCTGCTCTGATCTTTAGTATTTCTCTTCTCCTGCTGGGTTTAGGCTTTATTTGCTGTTTTTTCTCCAGCTCCTTTAGGTGTAGGGTTAGGTTGTGTATTTGAGACCTTTCTTGTTTCTTGAGAAAGGCATGTATTGCTATATATTTTCCTCTTAGGACTGCCTTTGCTGCATCCCAGAGCTTTTGAACAGTTGAGTTTTCATTTACATTGGTTTCCATGAATTTTTTAAATTCTTCTTTAATTTCCTGGTTGACCCATTCATTCTTTAGTAGGATGCTCTTTAGCCTCCATGTATTTGAGTTCTTTCCGACTTTCCCCTTGTGACTGAGTTCTAATTTCAAAGCACTGTGGTCTGAAAATATGCAGGGAATAATCCCAATCTTTTGGTACCAGTTGAGACCTGATTTGTGACCTAGGATGTGATCTATTCTGGAGAATGTTCCTGGGCACTAGAGAAGAATGAGTATTCAGTTGCTTTGGGATGGAATGTTCTGAATATGTCTGTGAAGTCCATTTGGTCCAGTGTGTCATTTAAAGTCTTTATTTCCTTGTTGATCTTTTGCTTAGATGATCTGTCCATTCCAGTGAGGAGAGTGTTAAAGTCCCCCACTATTATTGTATTGTTGTCAATGTATTTCTTTGCTTTTGTTATTAATTGCCTTATATAATTGGCTGCTCCCATGTTAGGGGCATAGATATTTACAATTGTTAGATCTTCTTGTTGGATAGACCCTTTAAGTTGGATATAGTGTCCTTCCTCATCTCTTATTACGGTCTTTGGTTTAAAATCTAATTTGTCTGATATAAGGATTGCCACCCCAGCTTTCTTTTGGTGTCCATAGCATGGTAAATGGTTTTCCACCCCTTCACTTTCAATCTGGGGGTGTCTTTGGGTCTAAAATGAGTCTCCTGAAGATAGCATATCGATGGGTCTTGTTTTTTTATCCAATCTGATAGCCTGTATCTTTGATTGGGGCATTTAACCCATTTACATTCAGGGTAACTATTGAAAGATATGAATTTAGTGCCATTGTATTGCCTGTAAGTTGACTGTGACTGTATATTGTCTGTTCCTTTCTGGTCTATGTTGCTTTTAGGCTCTCTCTTTGCTTAGAGGACCCCTTTCAATATTTCTTGTAGGGCTGGTTTTGTGTTTGCAAATTCCTTTAGTTTTTGTTTGTCCTGGAAGCTTTTTATTTCTCCTTCTATTTTTAATGACAGTCTAGCTGGATATAGTATTCTTGGCTGCATATTTTTTTCGTTTAGTGCTCTGAATATATCATGCCAGTCCTTTCTGGCCTGCCAGGTCTCTGTGGATAGGTCTGTTGCCAATCTAATGTTTCTACCATTGTAGGTAACAGAGCTCTTCTCCCGAGCTGCTTTCAGGATTTTCTCTTTGTCTCTGAGACTCATAAGTTTTACTATTAGATGTCGGGGTGTTGACCTATTTTCATTGATTTTGAGAGGGGTTCTCTGTGCTTCCTGGATTTTGATGCCTTCTTTTCCCCACAAATTAGGGAAGTTCTCTGCTGTAATTTGTCCAATATACCTTCTGCCCCTCTCTCTCTTTCTTCTTCTGGGATCCCAATTATGCTAATGTTTCATCCTATCGTATCGCTTATCTCTCGAATTCTGCCCTCGTGATCTAGTAGTTTATCTCTCTTTTTCTCACCTTCTTTATTTTCCATCATTTGGTCTTCTATATCACTGTTTCTCTCTTCTGCCTCATTTATCCTAGCAGTTAGTGCCCCCATTTTTGATTGCACCTCATTAATAGCCTTTTTGATTTTGACTTGGTTAGATTTTAGTTCTTTTATTTCTTCAGAAAGGGTTTCTCTAATAACTTCCATGCTTTTTCAAGCCCAGCTAGTATCTTTAAAATCATGATTCTGAACTCTAGTTCTGACATCGTACTAATGTCCGTATTGAGTAGGTCCCTGGCAGTTGGAACTACCTCTTGTTCTTTTTGTTGAGGTGATTTTTACCATCTTGTCATTTTGTCCAGAGGAGAATAGATGAATGAGAGAAGAAAATGCTAACAGGGTAACAACATCCCCAGAGAATATACTCTAAACAAATCAGAAAAGACCTGAAACCAGGGGAAAAGAAAGGGAAAGAAGGAAAAAAGAAAAAGAAAAAAAAAAAGAAAAAGATAAAAACAAACAAAAACAGAAGAAAACAAACAAAAACAGAATATGATCAAATATGATCAGGCTAGTGCATAGATCAGTGCCACACACTAGATTTTGGGTGTATTTTGGTCTGTTAGGAGAAAGTGCCTCCCAAAATTGTAAAGAAAGAAAGACTCATATATGTACAAAATAAGGGTTGATACGATGAAGGGATGGAAGATGACTGTAAAGATGAAAATTATAAAAAATTTTGTAAAAGGAATTGATAAGTTGTTTGAAAAAAGAATGAAAAGGGTTTAAAAAAATGGAGAGAATATGATCAGGCAGGAGACTAGAACAAAGCCATACACTAGAGATTTACGGTATATTTTGATCTGTTAGAAGAAACTGTATGTGAAAATTTTAAAGAGAGAACAACTTATATATATATACATATATATATGCCAAAAATAAGGGTAACTGCTATGAAGGGATAGAATATGACTCTAAAAATGAAAAATAAAAATGTTTTTTAAAAAAGGGATTGATAAGATGGTGGTTGAAAAAGGGAAAAAGAAAAAATTAAAAAAAAGAAAAAAATTACAAAAAATTAACTTTGAAAGACTAAAGAATCATGGTCAAAAAGCCATGGATTCTATGTGCAGTATTCCCCCAGCGCTGGAGTTCTCCTGTTTTCCTTGATCAGTAAACTTGGTCTTGGCTGGCTGTTCGTGCAGATCTTCTGGGGCAGGGGCCTGTTGCCGTGGTTCCCAAATGTCTTTGCCGGAGGCGGAATTGCCCCGCCCTTGTCGGTCCGGGTTAAGGAAGCTGCTCCCGTTTGCTCTCAGAGCTTTTGTTCCCTGCAAGCTCTCGGTACAGCTTTGGAGGACCAGGGTGAAAATGGTGGCCTCCCAATCTCCACCCGGAGGAGCCGAGAACTCGGGGCCCCGCTCCTCAGTGCGCCCCCAGAGAAAAGCATTCAGTCCCGTCTCCCTGGTCTCTGGCCGCACTCCGTGCTCACCCGGCCCGTGACCGAGCGTTTCTATCTCTGGCACCCGACCCCGTGTGGAGTCTCCAAACCCAGCAGATCCCTGCGGTGCGCTCCTACGCCGCTCCTCCCGGGGGAGGGAGGGGAGTCTCCCCGGCTCTGCCGCTTGTTGGGTCCCTGCTGGAGGAGCAGTGGCCTGACTGTGTCACCGATCACAGTTTTATGGCAACCCCGAGCTGAGAGCCTGCGCCTCGGCTCCGTCTCTGCAGCCGGCTTCCCCGCTCCGATCCCTGGGAGCTCTGCCGCACTCAGGCACCCCCGGTCTTTCTGTGACCCCGAGGGTCCTGAGACCACACTGTCCCGCGAGGGTTCCACCCCTCGCTTAGCCACTGGAGCGACGTCCCTCCGCGGAGCCAACTTCTAAAAGTTCCGATTTTGTGCTCCGCGGCTCTAGCACTTGCCAGAAGCGGCCAACGGAGGCCCCCCCCCGCCGTCTATCCTCCCGAATATCGCCTCGGATTCACTTCTCTGCTCATCCTACCTTCCAGTAAGTGGTCGCTTCTCTGTTCAGAGAGTTGTTGCTACTCTCCTCTTCGGTCTCCTGTTGAGTTCGTAGGTGTTCAGAATGGTTTGATCCCTATTCAGCTGAATTCCTGAGACCAGCCGAAATCCAGGTCTCCACTCCTCCGCCATCTTGCTCCGCCCTCAGAACTTGTTTTGAACTGAAGTATCCTAGCGGTAATTACAACAGGTCTTAATTTATTCCTCTAACATTTCTTTTTTAATATTCAACATGGGGAAAATGTGACTGTGGCTTCTACATCTATTCTCCAACTAGAATATGACTCTAGTTTCCGAAATCCTGTTTCCCTGAATCTAAATGTTGTTTTCCATCCTACCTGGCCATATCATGGGACCAGATAGGGAATTCATGATTATTTACCCTCACTTCATGCTTCCACCATTGTTATCTAATTTATTTCTCATATGAAGTATGTGTCATTATCCTCAACTTAATGATTAGGGAATTAAGACTCCAAGAACAAAGTAATCTTTCCAAGCCCACCTAAGAGGGAGTGGTGGGAACTGGGATTCAAATGTAAGCCTTCGAGATCTGGTGTTTGGGTTTTTTCCCAGGCTATTGTGCTGCTCCAGGGCAGGTAGCTGGGGCCAGCTGTGAAGGATAGGGTAGGAGAAGAGATCTGAGGCAACAGCTCAGTTAGGAGCTGGGGTACCCTTTCTTTGCTTCTCCAGATTCTCTCTCTACCTTCCTCCCCCTGGTGTGCTCTGGAGGCTGGTGCACACTAGCAGTATGGAGGGCTCCCTTGTCCTGCAGCTCTAGGAGCTCAGAGCGGGGAGGGGGGGCGGACAATGGCAGGACGTTGTTTACTTCTGGCCTCTCTGCCACATCACAGTTATTGGTGGCATTTCCCCAGCAGCTATCCTGTGCAGATTCCAAAAACCTCTCCCTCATTATTTGCCACTCCAGGCCTGCATGTGGTAATGTGTCCCCGCTGTTATGTTGTTATATTGCCTGGGGGAATAAAGCCAGTCCTTGTTAATTTCTCTGCCCACATCTTTGTAAAATATCATCTGTGTTACATTTTTTCCTCAAATTAGCTGGTTGGAGTGTGCCATTTTTTTTCCTGCTGATTCCCGAGAGACACCAGTAATCATAATAGCACTGGGTGCTTTTTAATTTGTATTGTTTTTCCTTTTCTCAGATTCATCGCTTCTCCAACAATTTTTATAGTGATTTGAGTGGTGTGATGACAATTCAAGCAAAGCCACTGCAGCAGAGACCTACCTATTTCTCAGATAGAACACAGTAAGTATAAGAAATAATCACCCCGCCTCTTCTGTATGCTGGGTACCTCTGAGCACTGAAGACTACAGAGGATGTGGGATAAGGAGCATCCTGTTTAACCCCGTATTCACTAGGTGTGCCTGAGCCCATTCGGGAAAGGAGACAGCCACGCATGAGAATGAAGACGCACTATTCTAACATCAACCACAAAATGATCACCGTTAGGTTAGGGCAGATAAATAAGGGGAAGAGAGCTGTGAATTCTTAATCTTGTGGGCTATACTGTAGGATTACAATCAGTGAGAACCTTAGATTTTTTCCCCCTGTGGAAGATTCTTCATTGAGATAGAAATTGAATTGGAAATGATAGCCTGTCCGTTCATTCAACCAGTATTTAGGAGCATCTTCTTGAGCCAGGCATTGTCCTAGACGATACCTAGTAATGGATACATGCATATGTGTCCTGTTGTCCTGATGCTGACATCTGAGTAATCAGCTTGACTTCCACCCATCCCCCAGGAATGAGCAAGAGGACAGATCACTGGGTGCAGGGCCCAGTGTCCTTTCTTTGGCACGGCACCGCCTGGGACGAACCTCCTCCGATGCTCACATACTCCACACTTCTGAAAAGAAAACACCTGCGTACACGAGGCTGCCTTCTCTTACTTCAGACTCACAGAGGATGAAAACCCCCACTGTGTACAATGATGAAGTTCTTAGGGGAACAAAACTGTAAGTTCTGTCTCTCTCCTAGTAGACCAGCTGTCACAGAAGATGGAGACGCTTGCCAGTTAGGGCTTATGGATTCGTATGCACGAAGCATCCTCTATCAGATTGTATGTGGCCACTTTCCAAGTAGTTCATGAATTTGAGTATTTCACATGAGTTGTGTTGCAGTAGTCGAGTTGACTGTATACTTGAATATAGAGTCAGGTAATGTACCCATAGCCGTGCCATAAAATGCATCTGTAATGGTGAGGTGATCTTGGATGGGAATTCGGTGGCCTCATCTGTAAAACTAACAGTTAGCCAATGCTTTCAAATTACGTAATTAATTCTTTCTCATTATGAGGTTCAAAAAAATTAATGTGCATAAGATGCTATACAAATAAAAAGGACATATATAACTATTAGTTTTTTGTTTGTTTCAAATTTTTATTTAAATTCTAGTTAGTTAACACAGTGTGATATTGGTTTCAGAAGTAGCATAACTATTGGTTTTTATTTATCTCTAAGGCTATGTTTCGCTCCACGTGGGGAGTTTCAGAAAAGCTTTTGGCCTTAGGGATCAACTTCAAATCATTGCCTTGTTAGAAAGGAATCCGTCCCCTCCTTCACTGCAGAGTTACGAAGGAGCAATCCAGCTTTCTCACTCATAAGGGCCAGTGTTTATTGGGTGCATTCTGTCACCAGCACCAGCTAAAGGAGTCACATTTATTATTTATTCCCTGCCACAAATCTTTTGAGTTGGTCCTCGTAGTATCCCAGATCCGGGGTGAAGAGACAGAGACTGAGAGAAGTTGCATAACTTTCCCGAGATGATCCCACGAGGGAGAGAGAGGCAGAGCTGGGACTCTGCACAGTGCCGTTGCACTTTGGAGACCATGCCCGCAGGGCCCCTGGGGCCACCTGCCTCCTGCCTCGAGGGAGCCAGTGTTTAAGGGGTTGCCTTAGGCTCCCCCCGCCCTGCAGGGGTTGGGGGCAAGAGCAGCTGCCAGGGCTTAACCAGCCCCTAGGTTTTTCAGGATGCATTCCACAGTGCCAAGCCACGAGTGGTTTTTTGATGGGTCACTGTTTCTTTCACAGTCTGAAACTGGTATTTCCAGCGTTATTTGGGGTATTCCAGTGATCTGGGGCTACTTGCTCTGGCAGTTCTTTCAGGAGCTCTCCCCCTCCTCTCTTCCCACTGGGGACCACCAGGGCCACCTCCCCCCTGCCAGTGTCACTAGCACCTCGCTGGCCGTCTCTTCCTCCTCCCAACCCACCTGGGCTCCACCGTCAGGCTTTCATCCTAAACCTTTTCTGTTTTCTACTGAAGTCAGTCAGATGCCTCCAGCTGTCCATTCCCTTCACGCTCTGGCCCCTTCCTATCTGTAGACCTGTGTTTTTCAACGTTTTTGTTATTACTGCCATACTAAGGAGCCCTTTTAGGCTCTTTTTCCTAATTCCTCCCCCACTCGTGGAATTTTAATGCCACAAATATACTGTACAGTCTATGTACTGTTCTTTATATCTGTGTTTTATGCATAAAAAGAACAAGGTTTTTTTTTTTTTTTTGGTCCCACCACCAATTCATGTTTGCCCCTCGGGGGCAATGTCACCATCTTTGACTCTGCCTTCCTGTATCTTCCCATTCCTGCTCCCCACCCGTCTTGACTGGGGGCAGCCTTGTCATCTCTCCGACCCACAAACAGACCAGCTGTGTGTGCTCTGACTGCCGTGATTTTGTTCGTGCTCTGTCTTTCACTTTTATTAGAAATAACCTTTTTTTTTTTTTAACCATCAAAGTACAACAAGTTCTCTGTGGAACATTAGAACAATACCAAAAATATGAGTAGGTATCAAAGATCCCCTGTATGCCCAACACATAGAAACAGAGAAATGATAACTTGGCGAGATGACTACCAGTTTTGTCTGTGGTTATGTTTCTTCTTTTCTCTTCTGTCCCTTATCTTTTTTCTAATACTACATTATCCTCCTATTGTAGCACTTTCTCATATGATTTTTTTCACTTAATTTTATTCATATTTTCCATGTTGTTAAATATTTCTGAAATATTTCTGAAATGACTAGAGAATAACATGTGGGTGTGTGATAATCTATTAAGTATTTCCCATTATGGAAACTTTGCATTCCTTCTATATTTTCCCCTATTATAATGTATAGTGAACATCATTTTTTAAAAGATTTTATTTATTTATTTGTCAGAGAGAGAGAGAGAGAGCAGGAGCCGGGGGAGTGGGTGGCAGAGGGAGAAGCAGGCTCCCCGCTGAGTAAGGAGCCCGATGAGGGAGTCGATCCCAGGACCCCAGGAAAATGACCTGTGCCGAAGGCAGAGGCTTAACTGACTGATGAGACACCCAGGCGTCCCTGAACATCATTTTTATATAAATCATTTTTTTAAGTTTTTATTAAATTCCAGTTAACATACAGTAGAGTATTAGTTTCAGGTGTACAGTATCATTTTATGTAAATCTTAATAAGGAAGACTTCAAATTGTGTCCTGGTGGTACAGTCCCAGAAGTAAAGCTACCAGGTCAAAGGTTATGGATATTTTTAAGACTCTTGAAATATTTTTGCAAAGCTCTTCCCAGAATGGTTCTCACAATTTGTAATCCCACCGGCAGGACACAAGGATCTTTTCTTGCAGCCTCGAAACTATGGATAGTATATGTATTTTAAAACATCACAGGTCAAAAGGGTCATATTTTAACTTTCATAACTTTATTATTAGTGACTAAATGAATTAGCATCTTATCCTAGACTATCCATCTCCATTCTTGTGTATCATTCAAAACCTTGGATTCCTTATTGATTTCCATCTGGATGATCATGTTTTCAGGCACCTTCAAGGGCCTGGCGCAGCCGAGCACTCAGTAAATACAGGTGAACATCACTGCTGACCAAGGAGGAGGTGACTGGAGCTGGTGGTCAGTCCCTCTCCGCGTTTGTCTTGCTGACACTCTGCTCATTTTACGTGAGCGTTTCTTTTTGGAAGGCAGTTGTGATTAGCAGTTCAGTTGGGGAGCTTCGGGTGGGGTCTGGCCCCTGCTGTCTGCGGCTGGCTGCTCAGCCAAATGTTGCTTTGTTTACAGGCAAACTGGCATGGAGTGTGTGTCCTCCCCCCTGGTTCAAGCCTCCCGGAGCAGGTTACCCCCAATAGGCTCAGAGACCGGTGAGCAGAATATGGCAGTTCCTGGATCTCGACCTGTTTCTGTAAGACGGATTTCATTCTGTTTAAGTGCACCATTTAGATTGTCTCTTGGGAAACAGACAAGCAGAATATAATGTTGGCCCTTCACAGTGAACTCAGTGCCATCAAATGTTTCATAATCTGCTTCCTGAAAGTAACTGGCTTGCGACAAGGGACAGGAGGTGGGAGGGTTAATTCACTGTTTTGTGAAATACAAACGTCATTTGAACTAAGTCACAAAGTCCAGGTGTCAAGGAACATCTGATAGGATGGTAGAGGGGAGCAAAGAGCATGAAAGTCAGGTCAGGAGACAGGGAGATCTGTGTTTGAACCCTGCCAGGTAAACTCTGTATGACTCGTAGACATATTCTCCCTGCGCCTTAATTTTCTCACCCGTAAAAGGGCCAAAGTGATTCCTTCCTCAAAGAATTGTTATAAGGGTGAAATGAATTTATAGATGGTAGATTATGCCTGAATAAAGTAAGATCTCAGGAAAACACCTGTGGCAATTTTATCAGGCCTCATTCTCACACCTGCACCCATGCTCAACGCAGCCCCATGATGGCAAACGGTCTGGGCAGGTCTGGGGTCCCTAGTCTGCATAACCACATTTCCCCCCAGATGTACGATGACTCCTCACTTCACTCCCATACAGGTAACTTGTCTCTGTTTTGCAAAACATAGAAGGACCCCAGTTGTGGGACCGTAAAGGACTAAAGAGAAAACCCAACGGAAACGTTTTCTCTTGGATTCCTTTGCCTCCTCCACTACTGCAATAGAACCCATCCCTAGAGAGGCAGGAGTTGCAAAGGGTTGCTGTGTAACCTTAGCATGTTGTGGCTTAGAGTAAGGTCATAAAAGAAGGCAAACATCAAAAAAAAAAAAAAAAAGTCTGATGCTTCACAAATGCAAAATTACATGGCTATTATAATTTAACAGTAAGAATTTTAGGTGGTTAAGTTTTTGAATCCATGTTTATTTCTGAGGTCCATACCATTGAATCAGGTTACATAAGAAAATTACATAATTAAAATGTATATTGATATTCATGTGTGATGGACCTTATACTTCACAGTATATAAATAAAAGTTTTGAATTAACAAGTGAATGAGCACATAGAGATCTTCTTTTGCCTTTTTTAAGGATTGCATTTACCTTAAACCAGAACATATTATCCTTTATTCAGTACAGAGGGAGGCAGCCACAAAACCGTGTGCTAAGTGCAATTCCTGACAGTTCAAAGCGATCGCCTCTTCGAGAGAGATCTCTGACTATAGAACACTTTTCAAGACCCAGCACGACCCATGCATTTCGGGTGGGTTGCCTGTTAACCCTAAATATGATTTTTAAAAATGTCTGAAACAATAAAACTCATCCCTCATTTTATTTTTCTTCCAACAGTTAGATACTCCCCGGAAAGGTTCGTTGACCCTGATGGAATTTGCTGGCCACACATGGACAAGTCAGAGTTTCTTCACAGGTCGGTTTTCTCCACATATAAATAAAATGATATCATAGGTGAGGTTTCAGGTTTTGGAAAGAGAAATTGAGGATTATCTACCTTAACGGGACTATTTTGACCATGTAGGAGGAAATACCAAGTGTTTCTCTGCTATGTCCAGACACAGAAGTCCCTACAAAGAGCAAAACCGCAGAGATAAGCACCTCTCTGCTATTCGGCATAAAGGGGGAAATGTGCCCAAACGCTCTTCATTAAATCAGAGCCCTCACTCTCAGCAAAAGGAAAATTCTGTCTCATGAGTCTTACGAGAAATGTCAGTGTCTCTCTCTGCAATAGAGTTTTCATGTTTTCCATGAAACCCTAATCTTAGTTCTCTTTGAAGACCTAATAATAAAAATGCTTCATAAAATTAATACAAATATTCCATTTTATAATGGAGAGTTGTACAGCTAAATACTTATTTTCAGCTATTTTTAGAGTAAAGTTTCTTGTCCGAATTCAGGCCACTGATGTTTCAGTTTTCAAAACTGTTGCCAGCATTTTTGTTTAAGGAGGCAACATAGGGTCGTCATGAGTTGTGATATTCTGGAATCAAATGCCTGTTTTCCATCCTACTTGCTGGGCTGTCTTAGGAGAGCCTCAGCCTCTCTGGGCCTCAGGTTCCTCTTTTGTAATAGGCTGGCTGGATAAAACCATTGTTGGAAAAATGTATGCAAAGGACTTAGCTAGATTCCAGGCATCTATTCTTGTTTAAAAATTAGGAATAATTTGTATCTAGATAATCTGAAATGTAAAGGATGATTTGCTATTTTAAGGCAAATGCTATAGTTTAAAAAATAAATCTGGTAAAAGGGAAGCCCTGGGACAACAGAGCAATTTTATCACTGTTTACACCAGCCCTTCTATAGTTCTGTAGCGTAGTGGTGTCGAAGATTCTTAAGCCCTTTACAATTTTTCTCCTATGTGAATAGCACGAAGCTACTGTGACTTTCTGTTGCTTTTCTTTGTATATTCCCTAGCATCATTCACTCTCACTGTCAGTGATGGTAATTTGTTCTCTAAAAGGCAGCCATGCCATGTTATAAGTATCGGTCTGACTTGTAGATGGTTGGAGGAAAGTAGGCATCAAAGCGTGTTTATTAATAAATAACAATGTGCCAAGTGCTCGTTCTGTGCCAAGTTCTGTGCTGAGGGCCAGCATTCAAACACCGAGGATGTTTTGGTCTGTGCCTCAAGGAACACTCAGTGTAGTAGGGAAGAGGGAAAGGACCACGAGGGAGGTGAGCAGGACCGCCAGCTGGATATGCAGATGGGTAAACGGACAGAGAGGCTTCCCAGAGGAGCCAGGAGCCATGCCCTGCAGGATGGGCATCACGTGGTATGTGAGAGAGAGAGAGAGAGAGAGAGAGAGAGATTCCATGGGTGGCCAGGAGACCGTGGTGCTGAAGGAGAGAGCTCATGGAATTCTGATGAATTCATTTTTGGAGATGTTGCCTGTAGCATGTTGACTGGAGCTATCTAATAGTTTGTTGGGCCCACAGGATTAGAGGTTCGGAGAGGGAACTGGGCTCTGAATTTGTTTTAAATCTGCACACTTAATTTTCCCCCAATACCAAGTCAGTATATTCTCTTATCGATAATTTTGTGACTATTGTTATTGACGGTCAGAAGCCTTTTTCATTTCTGTAAGAGTAACTGAGGGTACATGAGAGAGATATTCTTGTATTTCCAAGCATTTATTTTCTTTTCCTCTCAGAAGCAGGTGTGTAATCTCTTTCTTAACCTTTGCTTCCAGGTCAGAAACAACAGGAGCTATTAACTTATCCACATTTGTTCTGTGGCAGAAAAAAAAAGAGAAAAGGAGAAGCTGTGGGGTATGCCCAACAGTGGGAAGGACCTCTTCAGGCAGCTGACATTGCCTCAGTCCCCATGAAGTAGTAGGACCCCCAGAGCTAACCACGCAACTTCCTGGGCCTCAGGGATCCACCTCTGGGTAGAAGGTTCTAGCAAACCCACCGGCTCTCAGAGTACACAGGGCCAGCACCGAGGCTTTGGTGGAGGGGAGCCCCCTTCTTTCTTCTCAGGACCCCAAACAACAGGTTTTGTCTATTTCCTGGTTTACGTAAAAGTGACATGAAAATAGTTTTTTTCTTTTTTAAAAATATCATCGGCATGGAATCCTTTTGAGAGCTGGAATTATTAACATTTTAATGAGAGTTACTTTTTGGTTTGGTGTTTCAGGTTCACAATATCCGCCTAAGTCTTTTCAGAGGATGACTCTGGCTACAAGAAACAGATTCCAAGTGGCATCTTGATGGAGCTTGGACTTCAAAGCCTCAGCACACCATTTGTCACTTGAAAAATGGAAGAACCAAGTATTATATTATGTATCTGTTTGTCTGACAGTGAGATGTAAGCCTGTGTGAGAGAAATGCAAACAAATAAACAATTTAATTTTGAACACTTGCATTGCAAAGAGCATACAAGTCAAGTTCACCAACCTTCTCCGTTGGAAGCATTCCAACAGAGATTCTTTAGGCTTTGCTCAGAAGAATCTGATCCGTGTTTATCATCCATCATTTTATCAATTATACACAGACACACATGTAATTAGTGTATGTTTACACACACTACTTTACAACGTGAGAGGATATTATCTAGGAATATGCCATTTTGAAATGTGTTTTGTGTCTCATTCTGTCATTGATCCATCAAAATCCTGGTCACTAATAGATATCACAACCTTCTCTAGAAAATAGCAAAGCCATCTTTGGTACAATATGCCACTTTAACTAAGGTTCAGATGATCCTAATCGTTGCGCTTTCTTACACCTTTTTTTTTAAAAAGTACTTTAGTCACGAGCTTCTTTGAGGAAGGTCAGTGGCTGTCTCCCGAGCCAGTTAGGTTTTACTGGTTTTCTTGCTCAAACTCAGACAGTTTATTCAAAAGTAGCCCAAACGTATTGATTTTTAAACCATAATTAAAATATATTGCATATGGTTTCCTCTTCGTTGTTTGCAGGCGAAGGTGTTCATCCACTGGAGGGAAGGCTTCAGCAGACCTCTTCCTAATTTGATCCCAGTGTGACCTTTGCTCAGGTGTCACCTCTGCCATAAAGCCTTCCCGATCCCTCCGCCTAAAGTAGCAGTTCTCTCGTCTCTGTCCCTCTGCCCTGCTTTCTTTTCCTTCAGAGCATGTGTCCCTATCTGCTAGTCATATGGAAAATGGAATAGGGAATGCCAAGGAGAAGTGGACGATTGGAGGCCGGGCTCTAGGGCCATTTTCTTTGCTCCCCCACCCCATGTTTTTCCTCTATAGAGACTTGTATCCTTAGGCTCACTTTTAGATTCTCAGATCTCAAATCACCATAATTTCCTTTTTTCTATCAATACTTATATTTTATCAATTTTTTATTAATCCAAAATGAAAGTTTATCCATCTATCATCATATAAATGTATAATAAATTATTTTCAGACATATTTCTCGTCGTAAGGAAAGAGGATCTTGGCCTATTTATAGATGTCTGCAATTGAAAAGTGTGTTGGGACTGGAATTAGCGTTGTCCTTGACCACGGAGTGACAGAACAAACATGATGCTAGCTAGCGTCATCATGCCTCTGACTGATCATTTCTCCCTTACATTCCTGACTCATTTCTTATAGTAATGGAGCATGTTAGGGGGTAGATGGATGGCCAAAGCTCTGTAACTCTAGGTAATATTTTTAATGCTCAGTTACCCATACAAAGCAGACTGGAGCATTTTGAGAATTTTCTAACCTCTCCCTCAACATTAGCTTATAGAAACTTTCAAGAGAAAATATCGGGTTTTTTTTTTTTTTAAGATTTTATTTATTCATTTGACAGAGAGAGACACAGCGAGAGAGGGAACACAAGCAGGGGGAGTGGGAGAGGGAGAAGCAGGCTTCCCGCCGAGCAGGGAGCCCGATGCGGGGCTCGATCCCAGGACCCTGGGATCATGACCCGAGCCGAAGGCAGACGCTTAATGACTGAGCCACCCAGGTGCCCCGAAAATATTGGTCTTAACTTAGCAGCCCCCAAATATGAGGCATTACTCGGCATGGGAGCAGTCTGGAGTCCCGGTTCCTGAGGGCCTCTAGTTTGGTTTCTCTGGTCCCTAATTATGGCCAACTGTACCTTTTCTATCCACCCTGCTCTTAACAGACCCACTCAGGCTAATTTCTGCCCATTTCCAGGAACCATGCAACTCCTTCCCCAATCAGCGCAGACTTCTTAGAAGGAAAATGGTATTCATTCTAAACTAACATTAAGGTAGAGTATCCAAGATAAATTATTTTCTCATGCAGAACCACTAAATATATTTTATGGGAGCTTTACTTTATGTGGCTTCTGAGTTTTGTAAATGATCATCTATTATTTATATATGTATTGATAAAAAATGCTTTCAAAGATAGAACCCGGTGCAGCGATCCTGATTTGCATCTTCTAAATCTTTTCAAGAAGAGGATAAAGTATGATTTTAGAGATAACGGAGACTTGGCTCTGCCACTGACTTTAAAAACACTTGTTTATAGCATATATTTTTACACCTGTATTAAAGATAATATTTTATTTATAGGTTAACTGAGATTTAGAGGTTAGTAAATAATGCTTATGTCAAGGATGGTGCTTTTTGAACTGATTAGGGAAAAATTGGGGCAGTGTTTTCATAATAATCTACCTTGATAAATGAGTCTTAGGATTTCTCTGTTAAAAATTAAAAAAGACAAGTTGAGTAACTCCTGAGATCAGTTTTTAAATGAAGGTTAATGACTACATTTACTGAAATGTCTGTTAATTCATCCAAAACCAGGAAGAAATGAAGGAATTTTAAAATAATATAAAAACAGGGACACCTGGGTGGCTCGGTCAGTTAAGTGTCTGCCTTCCGCTCAGGTCATGATCCCAGGGTCCTGGGATCGAGTCCCAAATCGGGCTCCCTGCTCGGTGGGGAGTCTGCCTCTCCCTCTGCCTGCAGCTCCCCCTGCTTGTGCTCTCTCTCTCTCTCTCTCTCTGACAAATAAATAAAATCTTAAGAAAAAAATAAAAATATAAAACATGTAAAATACCACAGAAAATGGCTAAATTTTATAAATTTAATATCAACGGAAGTATCCATACTGGAACTAGAATGGAATTTCCATGCCAATTATGAGGTACATTTTTATAAAATGTCATAAAACATGTGGGTATTATATTTTTATTGTCCTTGCTTCATTATGACCACAGATCTTATTCAGGAATTTTAGCTCTCTAATTTTTAATAAAAGTATTGAAAGAATTTTCAAGACTTCATTACACTTATAAAACTTCTTTCCATTCCCAAGTTTTATATTTGTGTACCTCTCCAGTTTCTAATACACGGGTTATTCACTCATTTATTTCTAACTGCATAGCATACTTTTCCCAGTAAATTAAAAATACATAACCATACATGTTTGGGAGGGTTTATCTCATTTATGAATACCCCAATATAAGCTTTTTTCCCCCCTAGGAAATGACATTCCTGTGTGATAATCATGGATTTATTATTTCATCAAATATTCATCAAGCACCTTCTTTGTGTCAGATTCTTTCTAAGCATTGGGACTGGACAAGACAAAGTCCAAAGTGTTTGCCCTAATAGAACTTTGATTCTAGCAGAGGAGAACGATTATAAACAAATCGATACCAACATAATGCAAGGTCAGGTAGCAATAGTGCTGTGAAGAAACATAAAAAGGGGTGAGGTAACAGTGGAAAGAGCTGCAACTTTAGATAAAATAGTCAGGAAAGGCTTTATTGCAGAGGTAATATTTGAGCAAAGACTTGAAGATAAGAAAAGAAACATGTATATATGAAAAAGCATTCTAGACAGGAAAAAACACACAGTCCTAAAACAGGAGCATACCTGGAGGTTTGAGGAACAGAAAAGAGGCCAGTGGGACATGGCATGGAATTAGCAAGCGGGTAATATAATAGGAGATGAGATGGGTGAAGTAATTGGAGTCGAAGGGTTAAAATCCTTTTTGACCTTGGAAGTGGTAAATTATCTGAACTAGGAAGCCCCTGGAGAGTTTTCAGGAGGAGTGATATAATCTGACTCCAGAGGGTGTTCAGGATCAGATGATAGTGGTACAGCTGGTGAGGAGTCAAGGGACTTTGGATATCTTTTGAAATTTGAGTCAATAGGATTTGCTTTTGCATCGTATATGGACTGTGATGAAAAGGAATCAAGACTGATTCCCAGGCTTTGGCTTAACACTAGGGAGCATGCTGTGAATGTCATGTTTGAGATGCCTATAAGAGGGGCGCCTGGGTGGCTCAGTTGGTTAAGCATCTGCCAGTCATTTAAACATCTGCCTTTGGCTCAGGTCATGATCCCAGGGTCCTAGGATCGAGTCCCACATCGGGCTCCCTGCTCAGTGGGGAGTCTGCTTCTCCTTCTCCCTCTACGCCCCACCCTCTGCTCAGGCTCTCTCTCTCTCTCTCTCTCTCTCTCTCAAATAAATAATTTTTTTTTTTTTAAAAAGAGAGAGATGCCTATTAGATGCCTAAGTGGGGATGTTGAGACATTTGGTTAACTGTACCTGGGGTTTAGAGAAGAAGTACAGACTGGAGGTATATATTTGGCAACTGTCAACATCTAGATGGTATTTGAGTGCCAAAGTGGATGAAATAACCAAGAGCCTGAGTGTAGACATGCAGGGAAAACAAGAGTTCTGGGCCCTGGGCCTCTTAACATCTAGAGCAACAGGATGTGAAGAGAAACTAGCAAAGCCGACTGAGAAGGAATGACTGGTGCGGGAGAACAAACATTAAAGAACGTGGAATGCTCAAAGTCACGTGGGGGAAAAAAATTTTCCAAGGAGGTGACAAGGACTCAAATATGTTGAATGCTGTTGATAAGGGCCAAGAAATTACTTGAAGACTTAGCCACAGGGAAGATACTGGTGACGTTGACAAGATCTGTGTTAGTGAAATGGACAAGGCCTGGTTGCAGTGGGTTCAGGGGAGACTATGAGGAGAGGAATTGAAGCCAACAGGCATGGCCAGTCTTTTGAGGGATTTTTCTGTAAAGGTGAGCAGGGGAATGGATCTAAAGGGAGATGTGGACTCAATCCTTTAGAAGAGGAAGAAAATAAAAATAATGCGATATACTTAAATAGATTAAATAAATACATTTTCTTAAGGTCTTAACGTGATTAAACAATATAGAAGTGAGTAGAAGACAAGAATATAGACGTGACTAAAAGACAAGAAGACAAAAGACAACTTATAGTGTAAGTCCTTCTCCATTCCCACTCCATAGAATTGATCAGCATTTTTCTTTCTAGACATTAGTTTAGCTGTAGAGAAAGAAACTTTTTCTCCCAAAGATGACACGGCATTATATATTCAGTTCTGCAATATATATTGCAGTTATATAAAGATGTCATGCATTATATATTCAGTTCTGCAAGTTGTTTATTAGTTTTCCACTTAGTATTTCATGGGCCTCTTTCCACACTGGTACTTAACAGATGACTTAAAAAAAAAAATCAGTTGGAGAAAAGCCCTAGGCAGTGTTTCTCTCTACTTCAAAGAGGCCCTGTAAATGCCTGTGTGAAACCTATACAATAGCTGCAGATAAAACCAATCTAATTAAGCAAAGTAGGAATCCAGAGCATG